GTCAGCTGATCTTTGACAAAGGGCAGAAATCCATTAAATGGGGGAAGAGAATGTTTATTTAATAAATGGTGCTGGCAAAACTGGATATCCATTTGCAGAAAAATGAAACAAGATCTGTACCTCAGACCATACACAAAAACTAACTGCAGGTGCATCAAAGATTTAAATATGAAACCTAAAACAATAGTTCCTCATGGAAAAACTAGGGGCAAATTTAGGGGCCTTAATATCTGTCATAAATAAAATATCAAGCATAAACCAAAATGCACAAACACCAGAAGAGAAACTAGATGTGGTAGTTATGTTTGTGTGTCAACTTGGCTGGGCCTGGTTAAGTGGCTGGGCAGCTGTTGGTAGTTATTCCCCATGATGAGACTGGCAATCAACTCCATGATGGGATCTACCACAAGCAGCTGAGTAGCTGCCTTTGGGATATGGTCTTCTTCCTGTACATAAGGAGAAGCCTTGGAAATGGACTTTAGCCTATGGCATGTGTGGACCCTGCATGTAATCGTGCCATTGCTCAGAAGCCTGCTATGATGCTCTGCTGACCTTGGGACTTACAATGGACTTAAGTTAATGACTTGCCATGAGGTTTGGTAATATCAGGACTGTGCCTTTTTACTTGTCAACCTTAGGGCTTCTCAGCCAGCAGCTGTCTGACTGAAGAAACACCTCTAACTCCAGTGGGCTGGGAGCAGGAGGCAGATCTGGACCCCAAGGTTGAGGGGCTTTCACCCAGCCCCTAGAGCTAAGCAACTTGAACTTGGACTTAAAGCCTCCAAATTTTAAGAATGAACTCCTGTTTGTTAAGGCCATCCCATTTGTGGTATATTTCTTGTCAGAGCAGCACTAGGTAATCAGAACACTAGATGAATGGGACCTCCTAAAAATTAAATTTGTATGTGCTTCCAAAGACTTCTCCAAAAAAGACAACCTAGAGATTGGGAAAAAATATTTTGCAATGACATCATCTGACAAGGGACTTACTTCTAGAATTTAAAGAAAACTCCAACACCTCAATAACAAAAAGACAAACAATCCAATTAAAAAATGGGCAGAAGACATGAATAGACACTTCACCAAGGAGGATATTCAGGCAGCCAACAAACATATGAAGAAGTGCTCATGATCATTAGCCAACAATGAGATACCTTCTTGTCCCAGTACTAGTAGCAAAGTTCAACAAGACACAAAATAACAAATGCTGATGAGGATGTGGAGAGATTGGGATTCTCATATACTGCTGGTGGGACTGTAAAATGGTACAACCATTGTCAAAAGCAGTATGGTGATTCCTTAAAAAGTTGGAATTAGAAATACCATTTGACCCAGCCATTCCATTACTAGGTATGTATCCTAAAGAAGTGAGACACATGACAAGAACAGACGTATGCACACCCATGTTCATCGCAGCACTATTTAAAATAGCCAAAAGATGGAAACAACCTAGGTGTCCAAAAACTGAGGAATGTATAACCAAACTGTAGTACATACACACAATGGAATACTGTACAACCCTAAATAATAATGTAGAATCTGCAAAACACCACATAAGGTGGATGAACTTGTTGGACATTATGCTGAGTGAAATAAGTCAATCACAGAAGGACAAATATTTTGTTAGTCCATTATTGTAAAAGTCAAGAAAATGTTTCTATATGGAAGGAAATTTTCTTTGTTGGCTACTAGGGGTGGGAGAGGAGTGTAGGGAACACTGTCAGATAGGTAGTGATAAGTATTAATTTGGGTGAAGAGAAGGGCAATGTACCAAACGTGAGTGATCAACATGGTGGCATTGAGGAAGAAGAAGACATATAGAGGTACATGGGAGGTACAGACAACAAAATGAACCCTCCTGCAAATATATTTCTGCATTGTCAGTGATTGCAAACATGTGTAAACAGGTGCATAGATGGGCAGACAGACTGAACTAGTAGGTATGTCTATGAAGTGGGGAGTATACCCAAGACCATGTATAGGGTTGGCAGACAGTGGTCCTATAAGTGTATTTGTATGATCTGTACGAATTCCCAGGTATATAGTAGAGTTGACAAGAGACAAGGTTGTAGTTACTTCTTGGTCACAGGCAGCTACCCAGAGGGACCGAGTATTTGAACCTGTGGGCTCGGGACCATAGTCGCAGGGGACATCAAGCTCAATTGGCATAACATACTACACAAAACATTGTTCCACCTCCTACTTTGGCAAGTAGCGACTGGGATCTGAAATCTTGCAAGCAGCCATCTAGATGCAATGATGGGTCCCTCCTTATCCAGAGCAAAGAAGAATGAAGAAAACCAAAGATCCATGGAAAGAATTAGTCCTAGCGACTGGTGCACCATGCAATCTACAGCCTGCATGACTAGGAGACCAGAAGAACCAGATGGTGCCCAGCTACCACTGTCAACCACTCAGAGGGGGATCTATGTAGGAGATCCTGGATAGTGAAGGAGTACAACATGGAACAAAACTCAAAATCATTTGGAAAAACAACAGAAAAGGGGAACCAGGTTTGCTGGTCTGATAGAGCCTGGTGGAACCACTGAGACTATGGCCCCTAGCTGCCCTTCAGATCTGGAATTGAACCCACACCTGTGGCTTCCAGCCGAACAAAAGACAGGCGTATGAGTTGAACATTTACATGAGGTAGATACATACCTTGGAGAGAAAAATCATGGGAGAAAGAAGGGCTGTTTGTGCACAGGGAGACAGCTCAGGGGGCAGGATGCATGGAGGGATGGAAACAGGGAAGACGTAACTATCCGGAGGAAGTGGAAGGGGAGCTGTTGCATTGTGGTAAATTGTAGCCAAAGTCATGAGACAAAGTGTATGCGAACTGCTGTATGGAAAATGAATTTGCTCTTTGAATTTTCACCCAAATCACAAGAAAAAAGAAAAAAGGAAATTGATTTAAACATATATTTCTCTTGTTTAGAGTGTTGTATTACCTCCAGCCCAACTTAGCTACTTAAGTGAGCATTACATTACATTTTTAATCTTTTTTTTCAGACTTACTATATTTATAAAGACACATATGCATTGACAAGTATAAGTTTTTCTGTGGTTATTATCATGTAATGTTTTTCAGGAAGTACTCCATATTGGATAGTCCGGAATTCATGGGGAAGTTCATGGGGAGTGGATGGATATGCTTATGTAAAAATGGGGGCTAATATTTGTGGTAAGTAATAAATTTATGTAAAAATCCAGGGTAAATTATCAAGGACCTTATTGAAAGTATCAATAGTACAAAATTGTCCAGTTTAAAATATGTTTCCTTTATAGTCAAATTCTATTTCCAATAGTAATTTTCATCCTTTAATCAATTAATAAACATAAAATATAGACTTAAAGAGAGAAACTATTGCACATATCCCTGTTTTAAACAGTCCCTGTGAAGGGACTATTCAGGAGGCCCTAGAGTTAAAAAAAAAAAAAAAAAAAGAACTCTGGTGGTATAATGCCTAAGGCATTTGAGTGCTAACCAGAAGGCTGGTGGTTCAAACCCACCAGCCGCTCCTCAGAAGGAAGACTGGGCAAACTGCTTCCATAGAAATACTGCCTCAGAAACCCAAGGAGGGGTTGCTATGAATTGAAATAGTCTCGACAGCAGTGAGAGTTTTTTTTTTTTTTTTTTGATTATAGTAAAAACAATTGAAATGTAATAAGCAAAACATTTTAAGAGAGCAATAATAATTTACTAAAGTTAGCTACTTAAAAAACTAGGTAAAAAGTCAACTTGGCAGGCTGAATTTCTGGAGGAATGCCTTTTAGTTCCAAATTTACATTTTATATCTGTGTACTGGAAGGTGTGTAAATTGCCCTTTATTTGCATATTACAGTTCTTACTCAAGGATTGTCAAGAATCACTTTTTTAATGTGATCAAAATTCTCTTTTAGCTGCATATGTGAGCATTAAGATTGTTTCTGAGATTCGATTTATATGCCCCTTGCACATACAAAATCTTAGCACAATAGCCACTAGAAATCAGAGGCTAAAATAAATACCAAAAATTATATATTCCTGAATAATAAATTTTCTTAAAAAAAATTAACCACAAATTAGCTACTGAACCGATCAAAGTTGGAATTAAAGTTATATTCTAAACCTATTGATCTAGAAAATCCATACATTTTCTGAATCAAGCTAGATCCAAGCTCATACTGCATATTGGAGTAATCATTTAATTACGTGTTATAAAGAGTTCCAACATATATACGACTTTTTAAAAAATTTATAGAAACCTTCAGATTGTGAGACTGATAGAAGAAAGTCAGAAATACCCATAGTCAATCTAGTGAGTATTAATGAACTCTGCTGGCACAGTGGTTAAGCACTTTATTGTTAACCAAACTGTCAGTGGTTCAAATCTACCAGTGGCTCCATTGAAGAATGATGTGACAATTTGTTTCCGTAAAGATTACAACCTTAGACAAGCTATGGGGCAGTTCTGTTCTGTCCTATAGGGTAACTGTGAGTTGGAATCGACTCAAAGCACACAACAACAACAAAGTAATTCCGTTTAATCATTCTATAAAGGATCTATTATAGTTAATAAATGGCATGCTGTATGACCCCAGTGAAATGTTTTTCATAAATTATTTATTAGAAAAAGTCAACAGTGCAGACATCTTTCAGCCAGAGCACTAGCAACTCAATCAGACCTCTACTTTCCAGGATCCTTGGGGCTTTTACATAGTTGGAATTGCAGATAAATTACTTCTGCCATTCATTGAACCCCTGCAACTGAACATACATAATATCTTCAACTGTGCAAGTGGTAGAGCTTGGGTTTGGGTGCAGGGGTGGCTGTTTTCATAGCTCTGGCAGGAGAGTACCAAGATACTGACTCACAGTTGCCTTACAACTTCGCTTCCGCATTTCTAAGAGTTATTTGAGATAATTTTCTCTATCCACCTGCATTCATAGCTTTTAAGGGCCTACCTGGTTAGTAACTATGTTACAAACCAAATCCTTCTTAACAGTGAATATTTCCTGAGAGTTGACTACTTGGTAATGGTCACATTACCTCTATGAGGCATATAGTATTTGATGAACCTAAACAATGTCAAATATCTTAATTACAGGAAAATAGCAGTCTTCAAATACTGTATTTTTTGCAAATAACACTTCCACATAAATAACATGCACACACATATAATGCATAGAAATTATAAAATTAAGTAAAACAGTTCTAGCATGGTGTGCCCTTGTATATCCCACTCATCTTGTGACATTTCCAGAAGTGCATTTCAGCCTCATTCACCCATAAATCATATCATTCTGTTCATTTTCTTTTGTTTGGTTCATTTTCTTTAATCTCCTGCTTGTATGTATTAGAAATAGTGTGAAAATGTTACTTTTGATCATAATTGTATAATAAAATTATAAGCCATGGTCAAGAAGTCATGGATCGAGTTTGGTGGCCCCCTTGATAATCAGAAAGTAACCAGTTCAAATTGTGTGTTTGTTTCTATTAAATTAAGTTGATAATTATAGCTCATCAGCTCAACAGTTGAAAGCAAAAATCTTACCAGATTGTCCTAAGTGAAACTGTTAAGTTAGGTCTGCTTATTTCATAGTTTAATTCTGTCTTCTTAGTATCAGTTGTAGTAAACAGCATGTTATAAAAATTGTCAATGTGAGCAAGAGGGGTTGAAAATATTGTGCAGGAAAATAATGGTTGGCAAAAAACATATAAAGTAGGTGTTTTTGCAAAAAAAAATATATATATATAGTAAGCTTTTTCTTGTGTTTGCCATGATTTTGAGATCTATGTTGTGGTAAGTTGGGAAAACATTGCAAACTTGGGATTTATTAAAATTTTACTAATTAAAATTCAAATGTTATAATTTTGAATTTTAAAATTGTATTAAAAATAATCCTATAAATTATGTATTAGCACAATTCAGATTTCAGATGCATTCAGTTAATGACTTATTTTAATTCTCTTGAAACAAAAATATCAAGCTGACCTGATCTCTTCTAAGATCTGCTTTTATAGCTATCATCTTTGTATCAATGAGTCACTATGACCGTTAAATTATTTCCTAGTTTATAAATATATATATATATATAGTTTATAAATATTAATTTTTATAAAGTCGAGTGAAAAAAAAGTTTTAATTTGTTGTTTAAAAGCCATCTAAAAAAAGAATAGGCTAGTACTAACCATTTCTTTTTTCCCCCTTAGGTATTGCAGACTCTGTGTCTGCTGTATTTGTGTGATATGTTCAAGAGACAGTTACAAAAATTAAGCTTTTTATAATTCAATGCAATGTGGTACTTCATTCTAAAGCATCATTCACCCTTCTGCTTCAGCAAACATCAATAGAAGCTTCTGGGGCCAAGTGGTATTTAAAATTAGCTATAGCATGTTCCCCTCTTGTAGAGGGATGGCCAACTAAAGTCAGCAGGAAGAACATCAATACCCAAAACCTGGAAGAGAACCTATGGAATAGTTTCCTTCCTACACTGGTCCAGTCAGGAGAGATCTTAGATCTTAGATTCTTTTCTCTTTAAGAGTTCATTATGTTTGTTTGCTATTTTTGTTATTTTTTAATGAGAAACTTTAGGTAGATCAAAGAGGTAGTAAGAGTTTATTTTCCTTTGTGGGATTGCAATCATCATCATTACATTAGCTCACCTCATATACAAGACTGACCAACCTGTAATTATGTATGCCTCTCACAGTTATATCAGCAGCCTACAAGATGGAATATTGTATGGATTTGGAAATATGAACTGCTTTATCTCAGGCAAATGTTGCTAATCTCTTGAATTGTAGAAATATTATGTGGAAGAAAATAAAAGGACAAGATGGCTTCTTAAGAGAAAAAAATTGATTGTAATTAAGTGACCAATATGGCAACTGTGTGATGAGGAACTGTAATTAGTATTGCTTGAAAGATAAATTGTTGTTTTGAACTTCTATTGTCAGTGAGAGTCCAGTAGCTTTTATTTCTTACTAAAAGAAATTCTATTTTTCTAGATCAGAGAACAAAATATTTTCCCACTCTTATTTATCTTACTCCTTCCTGCATAATTCATGGGTTTTCTTAGTGGTTTGTGTAAATGAATAAAGAACTCAGTGTCATTGTTAATGTTCCTTTGGATCTTCTACCCTTTATTGAGAGGGTTATAAGAGGCTGTCATCCTTCTAAGCCTTTACAAACACCTGGATCTCACCATTATCTATTCCCATCATCTTTTGGTAGAAGCTCTGGTAGCATAGTGCCTAAGGCACTTGACTGCTAACCAGAAGGCTGGTGGTTCAAACCCACCAGCCTCTCAGAAGGAAGGTTGGGCAATCTACTTCTGTAGTGATACTGCCTCGGCAACCTGAGGAGGGGTCACTATGAGTCAGGGCCGACTCAACAGCACAAAACAACAACATCATCTTTTGGTAGCACTTCTTTTAAGTTCCAAGGAACCCTGGTGGCACAGTTGTTAAAGTGGTTGGCTACTAAACAAAAGGTTGGTGGTTTGAACCCCCCAGCTGCTGTGTGGAAGAAATATGTGGCAGTTTGCTTCCATCAAGATTTATAGCCTTAGAAACTATATGGGATAGTTTTTCTCTGTCCTATAGAGTCGTTGGGAGCTCTGGTAGCATAGTGCCTAAGGCATTTGACTGCTGACCAGAAGGCTGGTGGTTCAAACCCCCCAGCCACTCCTTGGAAGGAAGGTTGGGCAATCTACTTCCATAGTGATACTGCCTCGGCAACCCACGGAGGGGTCACTATGAGTCGGGGCGACTCCACGGCACATAACAACAACAACATAGAGTCGTTATGAGTCAGAATTGACTCTGTGGCAGTGGGGTTGGTGTTGGTTTAGTCTTTTCAGATCTTTCATCTGACAGGGATGGATTACCTAATAAACAGAGTACACACAGGCTTAATTGTACTTACTAAGTTTACCATGTTACTGGTTAATCTACCCCTGGTTATCAACCAAATTGTGAGACCAGAAATTCTGCTCAGTTTCCCGGTCTTCCACCCTAATTACTTCTTTGGCTTTCACCCGGTTCCGGTGTGTGGCACTTGTTTTACCTCTTGCCTTGTTAATTACATAAGTGAGTTCCAGCTGCTAAGCCACTGTTACTGATTATCTTTCATTCTCAGCAGTGATCTGTAACCGGTGTGCCTAAATGGACACTTTGTGCTTGTCATGCTAGAGAACTGGAAATGAGCCATTTCATACACGGCAGTGTAGGTGGCAGTGTGAAAACCTGAGTAAAAGAGCTGATCTTCTGCTTTAATAGAAATACAACCATATGGAATGAGTTAATATAAAAGAATCATTTCAACTACACATACGTAAATATTTCTTCTCTAAAATTCATGGTTGCTTTTTTAATGCAGAAGATATTAGTAGACATGAAAGTTTAAATACATTAATTACATGGAAAAAATTTCAAAGATGTCCCATATTTCTTCTCACATTTGGTCTTGACTTAGCTATCTTTTTAGTAGAAAAAGAAAATCAAAGACAAATCACCCCATTTCTTTTCGCATACCAACTAGAAGCAATTTCAAAAGAATATGTGTTAACTCAGCATTCAAAGATGTCTCAGGAAGGCAAATATTGATGTTTTAATTAATTCATATTCTAATTTCCCAGGTACCTAGGAAAGAAATATGTCCTGGTTGCTGTCATTTCTGATTGATAAATATGAATGTTTTCCTATGTCCAGTTACTGACTTTCTCTATGATATGAATGCTTTAGTAACAGTTTTTCAAATCCTAAAGGATTTTAAAAATTTCAAAATGATTAATATTGCTCAGCTATTCCAGATTTTTATAACATTCACAATAAAACAGGTTATATTTATCCATGGGTTAAGAAGCATCTGTCCTTTAAGTGTTTGTCTTAAGTTTTGTCAACCAGTGTTAATGTGCTTTATAGACACGTAATATATTTAGATCCTCAGCTCTATATCCATATATTTGATTTGACTTTCTCCATAGGCACCTTAACCTCAGTATTTCCAAAACCTCACTTCTCATCTTCTCCCACACTCCCACGAAGGGGTGGGAAGGGAGAAGAGCTCCTAGATTCTCTATTTTGGTTTTTAACAGCATCAACATTATGTAATTGCCTGCTTAATAAAATTGGAAAAGATCTTAGGTATTTAGTAATAAAAACCTATTACTAAATCATCCAACTCCTCTTTGTTTCTACTGTCCCTTCTTAGATGTATGTCTTTTAGTAACCCTTTCCCCACTAGTCAGTAGTCTACTCACTGAACTCAATATCTCGTAATGCAGGCTTCTCAAAGTGTAGTCTCCAGACCAGCAATATCAACTTCTCTTGGGCACTTGTAAGAAATACAAATTCTCAGGCCGCATCCCCAAACTACTGAGTCAGACACTGTTTTAACATGCCCTACACATGTTTCTGATGGATGCTGTTATAATTCATCTACCATATTTCCACTGGATTTACATTTCTGAACAACAATATTATCACATTATTTCCATACTTTAAATCATTCAGGGGCTCCACACTGACTACAACATACTTTAATATGAACTTTCTTGAAGAAGCCCCTTTCTACTTTCTCAACTCAATTGCTTTTCAGTTGCTGCTGTTCCACACAGGCATTTCCCATGCTCAATCTATAACAAGAGGTCCCTGGGTGGCACAGAAGGTTTGAGTTAGAGAAACCCACATAAATAAGCAGGCAGAAAATCACTGTAGGCAAAAGCAATTAAATGCAATTAGAGACAAACTAGGCAATATGTTCTTAACAGGAAAAAAAAAGTATGCTTGGAAGGCCAAAGAATTATTTAATTCCTTCAAGAACTTGCTGCTCCCTATACTAATCACTCTAAGTCAAATTTGATGTATATTTTAATTTCCTTTGATGATATTATATACTCTGTCCATAATAGAAACTTAAGTGTTGGCCTATATCAAAGTAAAGGATCTCTGGTGGTGTAGTGTGTGAGGCATTTTGTTGCTAACCAGAAAGTCAGTGGTTCAAACCCACCAGCTGCTCTGCAGGAAAAAGATGAGGCAATCTACTTTCATAAAAATTTCCAGTCTTGGAAACCCTATGGGGGTTACTATGAGTCAGAACTGACTTGATGGCAGTGGAGTTTTAATATCAAAGCAGAGCTGGAAATAGAAAATAAATAAAACTAATTTCTAATCAAAACTCTAAATCTATTACTTTTCTATTAAAAACGAATGAGATCATTGCTTGGTCTTTCTATATTTCCTTTCTTCTGAAGAACATTTTTCCTTGGAGAGAACTGCTACTCACGCCTACTTCGGTCCTAGTGTGGTCTATCTCCTAGACAACAAAATCGAAGCTACAAAAGAGTCCCATTGTCTTTCTGAGTCTAAAGGTTCTGGAGACTGTCACTCAGCCTGAAGAAAGAGCTGGTATAAATAAATAACAAGAAAGAAGGAAGTAAACATCATTAGAGGAGAGAGACAAAACAGAGAATTCTCAATGCATTCCAGGAACATAGTGTTCCTGGAACTGGACCTAGGCCCTGTGGCCTCACAGTGTCCCATGCTCCTCTTTCCTAAGGCTGGTTGGATAATTCTCCTGTCAATTCTGCCATTGGTCATCAAGAGTTCTAGCAAATATGAGCAGTTTTTAAAAAATAATACATGGAAAAAAGAGTAATTTTTTTAGTATTTATAAAATTTTAATAGAATAAAAGTCTTTACAGAATGATGCATTTTATTGTACAAAATGTTTTAAATAACTGAAGTTTATAATCTTAAAAACTTTGAAACAATGAGAAAATGATTAAGGGACTTATGTAAGTTAAGTATCAAGGAAAACTGAATTTTTAATAGGAAAATGCTCTATGTACAAAATTACAATATAACTGAATTATTTATGATCTTAATACTTAATCTTGTCACAAAAGAGATAAGAAAATGATTTTTGGAACTGAATCAGAATACCATGGTGCTTAATTGTGTACATACATATATAAAGGCTAAAATTCATAGAAAATAAAAATATATGTGTAGTGAGAAATAAAAGTGCTCCATAGGTTTTGCAGATGATTTTAATCAGATTCATCACTACTGAAGTAAGAGCTGTCACAATATTCAGCTGTGTAGAGGAATTTATGAATGATTGGGTTCATCTTTGGTATCCAGTGTCTCGGAACCAGGTATGTTGAAAGGTTAAATAGATCTACAAATACTTTGTACCTGTCACTGGGAAAACACATATATACAGACATTTTAGAGTCATGAACAAAAAATTCATGTCTTAAGATTATGACATTTGCCATAAATGATTGGTATTCAATGTTATATTAAGTACTATACATTTATATATATAATTTATATTGTTGTTGTTAGGTGACGTCAAGTCAGCTCCAACTCATAGCAATACCATGTACAACAGAGCAAAACACTGTTCAGTCTGGTCCTGTGCCAGCCATGGAGCTCTGGTGGCATAGTGCCTAAGGCATTTGATTGCAAACCAGAAGGCTGATGGTTCAAACCCACCAGCCACTCCTTGGAAGAAAGATTGGGCCATCTATTTCCATAGTGATACTGCCTCAGAAACTCAAGGAGGGGTCGCTATGAGTCAGATCTGACTCCACAGCAGTGAGTTTGGTTTTTATATAAACCAAAAACAAAACCCACCAAACCCACTGCCGTTGAGTCGATTCAACTCATAGTGACCCCTCCTTGGGTTTCCAACACGGTATGTATACGGAAGTAGAATGCGTAATCTTCCTTCCAAGGAGTGGCTGGTGGGTTTGAACTACCAGCCTTCTGTTTAGCAGTCAAATGCCTTAGGCACTACATCTCCAGAGCTCCCTTTGTAAATATATATAAACTTTTAAAATTGCTTTTGTGTTTGATAGCCAACTATTTTAACACTTGCAGTATTATAGTGGAAGAACATTATCCTTTAACAGCAAGTAAATCTGGGGTCAAATCCTGATTCCATCACATACAAACTTTGGACAAGTTTTTAAAATTTGGTTTCTTATTCTGTAAAATAAAAACTACAATATTTTCCATCCAGGCCTTTGTGAAGATTAAAGGAGATGAGGACACACAAGAAATAATCAGTTTGTGTTAATTATTCCTACCACTCCTGGCTTTTAAAAGCCAGGAACCCAGACAGAGGAGCAGTAAGCCCCAGGGACAACTCAGGAATGCCCAAAGCAGCAGGCCAGAAGAGCAGGAGAAAGGGGATTAAAAGCCAGGAAGACAGAGGTACAGTCAGCCACAGGGACCCAGGTGGGGGTGATACAAGAGGTCTCCAACAGCAAGACAAACTTGTCTGTTGGTTTGTCCTACTGTGGTGACATGTAGATGTGAGTTTTGAGGCTGAGCCTCTGGTGTTTAAAACCCAGC